GCAACACGCTTGTTTTCTCCACCCACAATCAATACTAAAAATGGAACAATGACCAGTGTGGTAAACGGTATTTCTCCCATTTCTTCCTGCCAAAGTTCTTCCCAGAAAGAGAATACAAGCTTATTTGTGGACTGCTGTATCAGAAGACGTGCATCACTCTAGAAGTATCACATTATTTTATGCACGTTAGCCAAAGCTAGGAGTTTGACAGAAAGAAAGTACTTGAATGGCTCTGCACTGACCCCAGGATATCAGCTGCATCATTTACTTCTGTAGCAGCTACTTGCAGTAGCCTCAGCTTCCACAGCAGAGCTAGACACCACCTGGTCCTAGGTGGCAAGGCAAGAAAGACTCACACATACTAACACAGCAGCCAGTCTTGGTGTGGGACAGAACAGCCACAAGCAGTATCTGGAAGAAAGAAATTTCCTTTGCCATTGGATTAGGCAAAAAGAAAGACAAGACACAAGATTTACCCCTGAGTCAGTCAATGTGACCAACCTGGAAGGCGGCAAGTGAAGGACACACCACCAATAGCACTTCGGGGCAAGACAGACTGCATCAATTCCAAATAGTTAACGTGTTATCATTGAGCCAGAAAATGGACGAGAAGCAAGCAGTCTCCCCATAAAATTACACAGAAGGTCAAGCATCCAAGTAAGTTTTCCTGTATAAAGCAGAAGAATGGTCCAACCATAGTCTTCAGAAGCTGACCATAAGAGTAACAGCCGGTCTCCTAGCTCTACTTTCAAAAACCTATCTATCCCTTCTGTGTGATACCACACAAATATACTGCTCTCAGTTCAAGGCCAAAGATGAGCTGGGACCCAGGACACCTCTGGATAGAAGGAAAGAAAGTTTAGGTTCTCAGAACTGCAGCCTGTTTCCTCACAGAGAAAAAGCCTTAAATATCCGCAACGGTTTTCAAACTTCTAAGACTCCAGTTACAGTGAGAATGAAACAAAGCTGTTTCCAAAATAGCTTTGTCATCAGAAAAGCAGTAAAACTTAATCCAAAATAATCCTTGACTATTTCTCAGCATTGAAAACATTATGGGGCATGTTACCAACCAATAAAAACTATGAAACAGAACACAGAATCGGGAAAATATGTCTGTGGCTTCAAGTTTGTTTTTTTCTGATTTGTTTTAGAAGTGTTCTCCCTTCTCAAGATGAGTTATTTTTCAATTCTTCCCACCCTTTAATTCATTACTGTTCACCACATGCCCCCAAAAAAGGAAAAGAGGTGGGTAACAAATACACAAACCCGAAAACACATATGAATGAAATCCAAAGGCCTCTCCCCCTCATTGTATCCAAAAGTGTCCAGAGGGACCAGAGTGAGAGAGATGAAGATATTACCACCTCTGGAATACAAGTAGCACCAATTAACACATTTTCACAATAGAGGGATTTTCTTACCAGGGCTTTCTCAAATTACTCTTTCTGAACAATACCATTCAAATGTTAAATTGTAGTGAAGAAAACATGTAAAACTATGCAAACGAGTGTTTCCAACCAGAAGAGGAAAAGAATTCCCATTATAACGATGACTTTTTTTTTTTTAATTAGCCTAGAGCATTAGCCTTATTTTTTCATTACATGATTGTCGTGTCCTGCCTATGGCAGGGGGGTTGGAACTCAATGATCTTCAAGGTCCTTTCCAACCCGAACCATTCTATGATTCTATGATTCATGGATTTGCACCTACTGCTATTTCAAGTTTAGCGATACGTAAGCAATAATTATGGCAAGATATAGTTTACCCTTTTTATATTGCTTTTAGGTCCAAATTAGGTAACAGACACTCCTCTGGGCAAGAACCTCTTTCATATTTGCTACCTGCCACACTATAAAGTGATGTGGCTGCTGGGAAGCAGGCTTCTAGCTGTAAAGCACGTGCTCACGTCACTATGTTCTAGTTCCCAGATTAAAATAATTCATAATAGATCTCCTTAAAAGACCAAGTAAAAATAGCAGAATTTCAGAGAACAAGATAGGATGAATGTGCAGGAATGAGGCATTCAACTATCGCAGGGAAAAAAAACTTTCCAGAAGAGGTGGAAAACCAAGCGGCAAAGTACAAAGGAAGCAGATACCTAGGGCTGAGGAACCACCCCAATTAAACACAGATACTCATTTGTGAAGAAAGGAAACATGCTATGCTAAGAAAATGCTGTTCTTAGCCCTTCGCGCTTACTGTTATTGCAACAGACGATAACAGATACATACTGACCCAGTCTGCTAAGCTGCACTTTTCCAGTACCCACTATACTTAGTTACTGAATAAAGGGAAATATGTAACAAATTTGCTTACAGAGTTTCACTTCTTAAATACATACTGTAACTGATTATTTCTTCCCTGTCTCCCCAAATACCTTAGGGCTTCAGTTCACATCAATAATTGCTTGAAACAATTCCTTTCCTTTAATTATTACAGTAGGCAACAATAAAAAGAAGCTGAACTGAGTCAACTTTGCTCTAACATGGAAATAATAGATACAAACATTGTACAAAGAACATTATCCAAGGAAAGCTGAAGTCTCAGTTGAAAAACCAAATGCAGTTAGCATCAGTGATTTCATTCAATACTGTCAAACAATCATTCATACTCAGGGATAACGTCTTCCATCATACCTGTCTACCAAGATATTAGGCTTTAAAAAAAACAAAAATGGCCACAGGAGTATTATGCACAGATTTACTCCTTGCCATTGCATAGTCAGGAAGATCTGACATTTAAGATTACTTGAGAGTAAAGCTGTCTGTATTTGCAATTTGAAATGAGAAAGTACATCCTGCCTGTTTAAATTATTCTCAGACAGGTTGCCCAAAAAGATCATTTTACAGATGCCCAAATGTGTATCAGCCTAAGGCCATATTGTACTTGCTTTCAGTTTCAAAGACCTCCTTTCATCTCTGAAGAATGGAATGTTGTTTACTGCTCAGGATGTTTTGCCATGTTATCATGAATATATTACAAATGTTCTGCTTCTTGAACTAGAGAGTGTTTGTCAAAACCATTCTTTATTCTACATGAGAAGTCTTAAGACTTTTATAAATCCTGCTTATATATCTTGGGACACTTAAACGTCTAAGTCTAAACATCCTTCAAGTTTGCTATCCTGCATAATTTCACAAAAAAGAAAAAAGGTCCACAGAGAAATACTTTCTGGTAGCATGAAGCTTAAGTATTAGGCACCGGAATGCAAGATTGCATGGGAGAAACAAAAGTAGTTTCACTGGCAGAATTACTTTCACCTACTGTCCTTACAACTCAGTCCAGTAAGGCAACCTATATGAGAAGCATCTTAAAACACAGCAGGTAAATTTGTGACAATGAAATGCTGTCAAGGTTTATGGTTAGTTTTAGGCATGTTATGTCCATGTTCTTTTAAACTTGTAATGTAAATAGTGGATCACCACCTTTCAATAGCAACATTGTTATCTGTCTCACTTTGGCACAATCTCATGAAGTGTTTAATAAGGCAGACACACCGCAGACGATGTGAAATAACTGAAAAGTACCTAACAGGCAGACTTGTTAAATATTCAGAAACAAATCCGGCAATAATTACAGAAAACCACTACGAAGAACAGGAATAGTTACTCGATAGAAGCTTGGGGGAAGAGGAGAAAACGATGGGGGAAACTGTTCTTGTGCTAAACTTATTTTTTCTAGTTTTTCCAGTGGTATTATAAAAAACATAACTATACCTTCAGCTTCATGTGAAAGTGCATTAAAAAACTTCAAAGTGAAGAATAGCTGCTCAAAAGCTGGGAACGCTGCTTTCTGCTGCTTGTTTAGATACAGATTCCTTCACTTCACTTGCGGTAAACAGGGAGCGTTTGAGGAGCTAGTTGTGTCTCCACATCAGAAAAAATAATCAGAGAAACAAGTCTACCTCAACGCCTTATAGAGGCCTCGTGTCACAGTCCAGGCTGAGAGAAAACCTACAGATGCCACCACTGTCTCAGTTACATTGCAAATAGTTGAGTTTAATAAAAGGTCCTTCCAGACTCCAGTATGCAAAAACGCTGCAGTATTTTCAATCCTAGCACCTATTTAAGCTTCCTAGGCTACGAGAATGAAAAAGATTTAAGCATTATCAGAAAGGACAACTTCACCACTATTTCTTCCACACAAGAACTAGTTTCCAGGCTTCTGTTCGCTGTGCTTGGGTCACAAGCCAACCAGTTCTTCGCTTGAGCAACATTGAGGCTTCATGAGAAAGAGGGGCAAAACTGGCAACAACACTTGAATGACAGCCCACAACACACTTCTCCCAGCTCCAGCCAAGATGATCGCTAACAGAAGTAGGCTGTTAGTCTCCTCAGAAAGAACTTCTGCAGCCCCATAATCTTCCAGGTCCCAGAAACAGTTTATCTCCAGCACAATATTAAGAGACTTGTTAAAAAAAGAGATATGTTAAAAGCACCATCAAGGCACTTCTAAAAAGCAGCATGAGCCAGAAAAGGTGATCTGGCTCATTGCAGAAACTGAATGGTCTAGCTTCATTTATTTATTGCTTTTCTGGGGGATCTAGCCAAGGCAAACTCACAGTATATTTGAAGAGAGTTCCTATGCATTGTGCATGGAAAAAAGTCCACAACCAAACATCAAAGCAAGGGCCATTTCAAAAGCCATCCAAAACAGCCATCATGACTTCAACTGAGGGGCTATGACAACTAGCTGCCGTGGAAGACCACCACTGCTTTGTTACCCTCCACTGCAGATGGAGGGTAACGTTTCTCTGAGCCATCATTTAATTCAGTCCTTTACACACAGTGCTCTTATCCACATTTCTTCCTGTAAGACACAGTTAAACATTCCCAACTAAGTTTTTCAGAAACAATCCTTTCAAGTATCTAACACATGAACTAGTTTTCTTACAGTACGTAACCAGCCATTTCACGTAAGAGAATCTTCACTTCTTCCTACAGGGAAAGATAAAAATAATTCTGTTTGCAGATACAACAACATACAAGTCATCTCCATACCTCCAGCCCAGATCCAACATTTGATGAATCCAATGGTCTTTTCTTCCTTGGTCCAATTGCGGCCAAAGCTGTGAGGTTGGCTTCTCTTTGTTGCATTCGTGCTAACTCCAATTGTTGCATCTAATTTAAAAAGAAAACAGCAACATTATTTATGATATACAGTATGCTAAAGGTCTTGGTTCTCTTTACGGCAGGTTCAGACAGCTCTGTGGTCCCTACCGAAACAATGTATTTCACAGCGTCTTTTCCTGTCTTTCTGGACACTCTTGACAGATTCCAATACTCATTCACACTTAGACCCTTGAAATGCTAACGGCCCTATAGATAGGTCTGTGTAAGTGACACCTTTTATAGAGACCACATTGTGGTATCAACACAGCCTTAACAGCAGCCTTGCTTCCGGTTCCTCAGCTCATAAACTTTGCCATTTCTCATTAACAGAAAATATTGTTCAGAACTGGTTTATGAGGCTGGATTAGAAGCAAAAATTGAAATTACCGAGTTCTGTGGATATTCTTAATTCAAAATCTCAATTCATGACTGCACAAGCAAAACACCCAATTTCTTCACGCTGTATTACCTGAGCCCGGCATTCAATATTGCCACTCTAAAACATCTTGTTGTCCAACTGAACAGGATGCTGTCAGTTCACTGATACTCTTTCTTTTCCCAGTACGTATTTGAATCTTCAGGCATATCTGTGGCAAGTTAGACATACACTGCATATATTTACTTTCACTCACACCAAAAACCCATTCAATGCAAAGAAATCCTTAGAAACAACTTCTACTTGGGTTAAGTAAACTTGGGATGGGAGAGAGACCCATAGGCAAGAGGACTGAAAAAAAAAAAGTTTAAACTCTTCATTTCAAGGTACATACTACTTCATTCTATTCGATAACTCGAGATGCCAGCTGCTCTGGAGCTCATAGTCAAGTCTGCTAATAGACTTACTAGCTTGGACTGGCCACCTTGCTAACGCAACCACGCTGCTTTGAGATCCACCAGCTGTCCAACTTGGAGCACGGGTGGACGGGAGCGCACTCTCTCTGGAGAGAAGGAAGCTTTTCTATTTACTCAGGTTGAGTTTTTCCTTAAACACAAACCTCCAGATGTGATGTTAATCCTTAAATGATCTGATATGCAACTAGCACTGCTCCTTATCCCATGTTCTCCCCAATCTGAGGACTCAGAAAATGTGTTTGGGTGGGAATTCTCTACATTCACGCGTGTCTATGTCTTTAAAGAAAGTACAGCCATATCATGGTAGCAAAGCATCCCACTGTCCTCCCTTCCCTCAACCCTGCAAATCATTAAAGAATATAAAAATTATTTGGAATTCCTCATTCTTTCAGTAGATATTTTGCTTACTAATCTTGCAATACGCTATGTTTTCACTTGCTTTTCAGCTCTCAGAGATCCTACGTGGGGAAGAGAAATTCAGCTGACTAAGAAATAAGCTTGTAACACCTACACAGGATTACTCTCCCACTTGCTACTACTTAAGTAAGAATCCACAATAAAAAAAAAAAACAAAACCAAAATTACATATCATGGGGTTGGGTGGGGGATTTTTTTTTGTTGTTGTTGAAAAGTTTGAGGGTTTTGAGTGGCTGGCTTTTGGGGTTTGCTTTTTGGGTTTTTAGTTTGGGGGGTTTTAGTGTTGGGTTTTTTGGTTAAGTCTGTGATTTTACTTCAGATCGGTAGACTCGTTCTTACTTTAGTGATGCTGGCAGCCTCACATCAAGTATTGCAGTCAGCTAGACTATTAAAAGAAAAACGATATTTCAGTGCAAGATTCCTAAAAGAGCATCCTGCCCTGTAAGACTCAAACTATACACATACTCAAGATTTTTCAACAGAAATCAGGGAACACAAGACTTTGACATACGTATGTTAAGAGTAGTTAGGTTTTGGGGTTTTTTTGGGGTGGTTTGGTTGGTTTTTTTAAGATAAGACAAATGATTCAGTTATGAAAACACCACCATTTGCAAGTCAGCTTTGATCACACTATGTAGGCTTTTCCTTACAGAAATGTAGTAGTACTTCAATGCTAGATACCATCATTCACTCACCACACACTATTCTTGCTTTTTTTGTTTGTCTTTTTCAAAGTACTTAGTATTGCTTTCAAGAATATTTTAGAGACTGTAAGGTTTTATGTCCCTTAAACTTGAAAACTACAGTTCTGCAACTGCATGACATTACCCCACCTGGTCTACTTGCATAAGACGTTTAAGATAAACTCCCCTTTAATCTCAGCTTTAAATACGTATATTTATATTCAGGAACACATTGCAACCTACCAGGAATGGGGGAAAATAAGACTAAATCTGAAAAAGGGACTTGAAACTTCACAAACTCTGTGAAACACAGAGGCTTAGAAACTATTTTTATGTGACTTCATCACTCTGGATTAATTGGGAACAATGAAATGCTGAGATTCTTTGGCAGAGGCATGTGCTGACTTTCAGCCCCAGCTGCCCAGGCCTCCAACACCTGGAGCCATCCCTACTTACAGGCAGCAACGGAGCATCCCTGTAGAAGTATACCTTCCTGCTAGCAATGTAGGTCAGTTGTCACGGTAGCTGCATGTACACCTCAGTCATCTTGCCATGAGAAGAGGCATTACAACATGCCATGCCCATGGCACCCCTCTGGGGGCAGATTAAATTCCAAAAGGCTCCAGTGGCAAAGAAACCAGAATAGGAAAGATTATTTGCTTTTCTTTTAAGGATCACTACACTTCAAATGAAAGACTTCTAAAATAATTAAAACAAATAAGAAAAAAAAAAAGCCTTTATTAGCCTAACCTTGTGCTTCTATCCCTGGGAATCATTAGAAAACATATGCCCCCCTGTCCTCAACCCTATAAAACACATACTAACCAGCTTCACTGTAGTTAGACATGTCAAAAACAGGTGGCTGCTGAACATTTGGTCACTGGCTTGAAGCAGCATTGAAATAAGACCCCTTCTCCTTTTTACAGCTGATGTTGATGGGCAGCCATGGTAAAGACCAAGGAAAAGAGGCAGAGCTATGAGTTAAATACCGAGGGCGCTTTGGCTTGGCATCGGCACAGGGTGGAGGAGACTCAGCAGGTTGAGTGCCTCTTGGTGGAGTACCAGGATGCTGAGGACTGGGTAGCGCCTGGGCACCATCACTCATTTTCCTCATGCAATTCAAGCTGACAAAGCATGCTGTCGACACAGACGCCCTGCAGGAGCGAGCACTGCTGCTGGAGGGCAGTGCTGGCAGAAAACCCACTGATACAAAGGACAAGATGACATTTGGTGGATGGTATGAAAAAGATGTGCTGTCTAGAAACAGAATTGATGCACCTTTGACCACACAGTTCCCAAGACAACGTCAGAAATACATGTCGCTACCGTCACCTACTTTCCCCAACACATTTTCCACCTCGTAACGAGTCAAAGGATTTTTCAAATCGGGCAGAACCTCAACCAGGGGTTTGGAGCAAAAGGAAAAAAGAAACCATAGTCTTGTTGCATTCTAGACATCTTGGGGATTTTTCTGAGAACATAATTAAGACAAATGAATTTAAACACTCAATCTCCATAATGGACTCAACAGATCCCCATTAAGCAATATGGGCAGGCATCCAAATTACCCTGCTGAAGCCAGCAAAATCATCTTTTCATCAAGTTTTGTTCCATTAAAAAGTGTGAGATTAAATGTCCAAACACTGTGTGAGCAGTTAAAAGCACAGGATAAGAAGACAGACAGATAACATCAAGGGATACCCGAGGATACTGGCTGGGTAACTACTGCCAGATTTTCCTAAACAAGATTAGGAAAGAGCAAGAGGCAACTATGTTGAGTCAAATCTTTCTTTAACAGACAGTTTTGCAGCACACAAGTTAGGGCAGAAAGATCACTGCAGCAAGTGAAAGACAGTAAAAGTAGTATATACATTTTATTACAACATAACATAGAAAAGCTGCATCTAGTAGCGTTTTCCTTCTAGGGGCCAGTTTTACTAGTATTGGTGTCTCTGACTAAACCAGGATACAAATAGGAACTCTCATACCCAGGTTTGTATCTTGAAAACAGATGATTTTTCTTCCTTGAAGAGAGAAGTGTGTAATGGCAATTCAAGAGGAGCTGGGGGAACCTGTGCCATACATTGGAGCCACAAAATAGCAGGTTTCCCCTCAACCTGACCTACTTCATCGGCTGAAAGATGCTGCTGTTCCACCACAATACAGGAGTCCAACAGATGTTCTGTTCAAAATTCATTCCTCAAGAAGGGCATTTGAGAGGAGACGGTCTCCAGCCAAGAGGCAAATGAATGTTCATGCTCCTTCTCCCTCCTTTCTGATTTTTACATATGCTAAGAATTGCAGTACAAAGAGTTCTAAAAAACTGTGTATAAAGATCAAATTGCTATGAAAACGTCTCAGAACTTGTAAAATAGTCTTTGTTGCTGCTGGCCTTTTTAATAATAAAAATAGGGTTTAAAGTCTGGTCTTGCAGCAAGCAGGAATCTCTAGGGTGACACAATAACCATTTTAGTTAATCTGACCTGCAGCACAAATCAAGAAGTAAGGTATGTTTTAAAGTCCTCCCTTATAGTGAAATGGCATTTGCAGCATGGCTGTAATCACACAAAATGAAAGGTTTTTAAATTGACCTCTCTGTTCTTCACTCAATCCTCTACTGAGAAAAATATTTCTTTTCCTGCTCACAGACATTCTCTCTCACTTACGTCTCATACTCCACATTTCAGAAAATATGCAAAATCTATTTTGACTACTACGCCAATGACATCCTAATATTAAAAAGTAAAATTCAAGTTGCATAAGAAGACAAGAAGTATTTCAGTTATGAGACACCAAGACTCTTTTTTTTAAGCAATACTGCAAGTTGGCTTTCAACCCTTTCAGTTAGGAAGTTCATGATATCTGGTTGTTAACATTATCGGAGCTCCAATAATTCAAGATATGCAAATCTCACCAGACTTTCCCTAAACACTGCAAGGAAGAATCTCTCAAACACAACTGAAGAAAGGAAAAAGTATACTCTAGTACAAATAAAGTCAACTAATTCACACCAGCTAATCCATGATGTGTACAGCAGCACGTGGCTGTATTACCAAA